TATACATATCCATTAGATGTTTCTCTCTGAGTGTCTGTGTGTGGTCTGTGTATGTGTGTTGCCTAGGACATGTTGGCTGTGTAAGAAGGACACTTCCGATGTAAGTACGTTCCACAACAATATTGAGCAACTAACAATGATCCAAAGTTGGCTCGGCCGTCTGCCCCGCCCACCCGCTTTATATATACCATTATTATTCATGCTCAACGCCAGTCTATAAACGAGAGATATTTTTGCATTGATCGCGCTCTTGGAGCAGGCAGGCAGGCAGGCAGGCAGGCGGGTAGGCGGGTAGGCGGGCAGACTGGGAGTCGGGCTGGCAGTCAGTCAGTGTTCGCATGCTGGACAGTTGACACTTTAGTGGAAGATCAAATCCGCATCGGGTGCACCCTTCTGGTGCTTGAACTTGTTCTTGTTGGGCTTCTGGTAGTAGCTCTGCGTAAAGTTGCGCTGTTGCAGCGGCAGGAGCGACTCTTGATAGTCCTCCTCCTCGATGCGCTCTGTTATGTTCAGGGTCAGTCGCTTGACGCGCTCCTTCTCCTCGCGCGTCTTCTGCTCCTGCAGCTTCAGATTGATGGCCAACTGGGAGTCCGATGGGGCCACAAATGACTTGAACTGCTGTTTGCCTCCCTTATTGCCGCGCACCATCAGCACAAACGGCACAGCACCGCTGCCCTTGCCACTGCAACCGCCACCGGCACTAGCCTCTGTGGCGGCGACATCATTCGAGGAGGTGGCAGCAGTTGCTGACGTTAAATGGTTGCCACCATCCCAATTGTGGCCATGATTTGTGGGAGTGCTGGGGGCAGAAGCATTGCCCTTTGAGATCTGCATTGCATTGTTGCAGTTTAGCTGGTCGTAGGACTTCTTTTGCAGGCGCGCCATCATGGGCACCGGTATATCCTTGTGGGTGGCTTTGAGTGGCGGCTCCTTGAGTCGCTCCTGATACGAGTCGCTGGTCATCTTCTCATACATTTGCTCGAATTCCAGATCCTCCTTGGATTTCTCCGGCGGCGGCGGTGGCGCCACTGGCTCCACCTCATATTCAGTCCAGTTGCCTTGATCTGCCTCCTCCGAGCCGCCGGCCGCTTGACGTTCCCGCTGATCATCCGATGAGCCCGAGTCATCCGTGACCTTGAATACAAATTGTAATGCCATAAATAGAAACAAATCGGCCTAGAGAAATATATATATACACGACTTACGCCATCGTCGAGTTCGTTGATTTCATTGATCGTATCCAAGCTGGAATCCTGCGCATTATTGTTGTTGTTGCTGCAGGCTCTCAGCTGTGGATACAGCTGCTCCTGCAGCTGATCGATGGCCTCTTTGGCCTGCTCCAGATTCTTGTACAGCTTCAGCTTCGGCCGCACACTGGCCAAGCAGTCGCGATAGGTGTGATCGACGAGTATGGGAAACAGATCGGAAGTATTTTCCGACTTGCTGAACACCGGATGCGACTTCTTGTGCCAATAATAGCGCTGAAAGAACACCAAGAAGTAGTCCAATCTGCGGAAGAGAAGATAATGGTCTGAATTAGCCACTGACTTCAAAATAGTCCAATTCCAATTAAATTACTTCTTGCGCGTGGCCTGGCTGGTGAAGTAGGGAGCACATGTATCGAGCAGCATGCAGGCGAGCTTCAGGCGAAACAGACTCTCCGGCGGATCGAGCGGCGATATGACAGACTGATCCAATGTCACACCAAGCGATATTATCGAATAGAGTGTGTTCAGTATATGCGAGGATTCCACCAGCTTATAGTTGTACATCTCGCCCAGGTACTTGGCCATGGCGATGCGACGCTGCGACATCTTGGGCGAATGTATCTCGAGGCCGGCGCGTATATCCTCGAATACATTGTCGATGACAATGGTGACAGCACGCGGCTGGTAGGAGCTCAGTCCGGAGACAAGATCGGCCAGGCAACGGATGAGTGGGAAGCGCAACAGATACGCTTTGCTCAGGCACTTGATAGCATAGTTATAGACATCCGGATCGTCCCAATTGATGCGTCGCAGCATCTTAATGCAACGCTCCACATTCTGCTTGCACAGCTCCTCAAATATCAAATGGCGTATATACTCGTGCATTACCGGCCGTGGGGCTAGCTCACGCTTCGCCGACTCCGGCGGCTTGACCAGATAGTAAACACTCTCAATTTGCGCCGCATGGCGCGAATCCATTGCCGTCGCCGTCTTCATGCGCAGCATCTGATCGAGAAAGACGTTCATCAGCAGCCGCGAGTCACGGCAATTGTACAGATAGACGCCGCTGACCTCGACAAAGGCGCACGCCATCTCGATGTGATGATGGATAAAGTCACGCAGCAGCATCTTCAGGCAGCCCAGAGCATCGAACTTCTTGAACAGTCCGAACTTGACCAGTTCGCCAATGAAGCGTACGATCTTCAGCTTCGACTCAATGTTCAGCTGATTCTTCTTGCGGATGTGCCACTTGAATTCCTTGCGCAGCAAATCGGACAGATCGGCGGCCACATCCGTGTTGCACATGTGCACAATGGCCACGAATCGTGACAGATATGGCAAGATATCGAGTCGTGTGCGCTGCACACTGAATATAGTTCGCGTTAGCTTCTTCCGCTGATGCTTTGTATTGTAGTTGAGCAGAAACTCAATCGCCGCCGAGTCGATAAGCTCCTTGTTCACGCAGTTGAATAGATTGAGTAGAAAAACATCGAACTGTTGCCGTAGATTTTGGCTCTGCGATTGTGTCTGCAATGTCCCAACATAGATCAAGAGAGAGGGCGAGAGACAGAAAGAGAGAGAGAGTGTGATTAGAATTGTCTTTGCACTATCGAATCAAGTTCGACCTAAGCAGCTGCCTAACCACTCACCGTTTGTTGTTGCTGTTGCTGAAGAGCACAGCGCAAACGTGTGAAAGAGAGAGCAATAGTAATAAGAAAGTGAGAGATAATGAGAATAAGAATGAGAGAAAGGGAGAAATAGTGAGAGTAAAGAGAGAGAAAGAAGTAGTAAGAGTGTGAGACAGAAAGAGAGAGAGATAATGAGAGTAAAAGATGAGAAAGCAATGGTAAAAGTAAAAGAGAGAAAGAGGGAGACAGAGAGAGATAATGAGAGTAAAAAATGAGAAAGCAATGGTAAGAGTAAAAGAAAGAGAGGGAGACAGAGAGAGAGACAGGAATAGTGAATGTAAACGAGAGCGAGATAGCTATGATGCACTTACCGTTAGCTGCTGCTGCTGTTGCTGCTGTTGACGTCCCAATTCCATTAGCGCACTGCCCATTTTCTTATCAATGGGCAGAGGAGGAACAGCAGCAGTTGCACCTGGAAGTGCAGTTCCTGCTGCTATTGCTGCTGCTCCTAACTCAGCTGCAGCGCCTGGCTGCTGTTGCTCCTCCTGATCCTTGTCGAGCGCCGTATCGCTGGTCGCTGATGGCGGATCATCCATATCTAGCTCAGCATCGATATTTGCATCGATGGCCTCCTCGGTCAGCTCGCTAGGCTCTTCGAGCGTTTCCAGATCCACTTTGGGCGCCGAGAAGTTGGGCAAAAATTGTCGCAAGTCTGGTAAATCGGTGTAAAAGGCGCGCGTCTCCTCATCGCCCCACGGGTCGAGCGTACCAAAGGCGGCGCTGTCCAGCATATTATCGATGACTGTGCCCGGATTACAGCACTCCGACTCCTTAGTCAGCTCCGGCATCGGTTCACCCAGCAGCTCGGAGAGCGACTGAGCCGAGGCGAGCAGTTTATCGAAGCTCGCCTGCATCAGCTCGCATTTCTCACGCTTCTCCTGGCTGATCTCGCCCTTGCATTCCATGGTGCGTCTTATGTTCTTGGTCATGTTCATGAGGGCGGCCTGCTCGGCCAGCACATGCTTGCAGAGCGCCTTGAAGTATCCCTTGAGCATGGTGCGCAAGTTGAGCTGCTTGTCGGCACTCAGGAAATCCGATTTGGGCACCTCGATGTCGTATTTGAGAGCCAGCTGCTGCATCTTTTGCGGCACCAGGCCGGCATACTCCTCGCCACAGTGGCGACAGAACGACAATATTATTGAGAAGTTGCTATGATCGTCCTTGTCCATGGCTATCAGCTGCACCAGCACCATCCCAAGCAGCGCCAAGCCCGGCTTCATCTGTATAACACCCGAGCTGACCAGCTCTGCGAACAGACGCAGATCCACGCGCAATTTACTCGGATTGCTGATCTTCTCTGTTGTCTTCAGAGCCTTCTGCCAAGCCTCAAGAAACTGTGTACTGAAGTCCGCATAGGTGCAGTGCAGCTTGGAGGCCAGCGTTACCACGGCTGGCACATCCGTCATCTTCAACTTGGCCTCCGTCAGAGCCGCGCATATTTCGGATATATATTTGCTTAGATTTAGGGCCGAGAGTTCGCGCAATAACGAGTCCAGCTGTGTGCTTGTGAAGAGTTTCAATTTCTTGACAAATGCCGTATTCTTCTTTAGGCTCGAGTCAAGGCGCGCAAAGTATTCGTCGCCGGGTAGCTCGAAGTTGGCGTTTTGCTGTCGCAGCTGACGCTTGGCGTCTATCTTTTCCTGCAATTCGCTAATGAATTGCTTCAGTTCAGCCAGTCCCTCAACCTGATTGGCTGGGACTCCAACGATTCCTCCAGTCGCTATGGCATCTGATGATTCGATATCTGCCTCGCTTACAGTTGCACTTGCTGTTGTTGCCGCTGCCGCGTCAGATGCTGATGTTGTTGGCACTGTGGGCGCCTCACTTATTTTGTTGGCGCTCATGGCATTAAATAGGTTGAATTCGGTTGTTTAAGTTCTAAAAATTGCTTGCTTTGCGAACTGTTCAACCAAATCTCTTTTCGAATATTATGTGTTATTTGATTAAACTGCATTCGCCTTCTAGATCCCCAACTAATGTTTCGATTTCCAAGTGTTGTCTAGTGTTGTTTTTTTTTCTCTTCTTTTTTTGCGTTGACCGTTTTCGTGGTGCACATCGAACATCGCACATCTGTATGTAAGTCATGTGTACACACTCATACTTTAACATAAGCTGTGTGTGATATTATATATCGATGAGCGTGACCGGCACAATGTTATGTAGATGTATCGAACATACAAATGTATCGAGATGTTATTGAAAATGTAATTGTACAACTTTCAGAAACCGAGTACCAGTATTTTAAAGAGAATTATTGAGAGCTCTTAAGCCGAAATTAAACACAAAAATGGATAATATACTAAAATATTACTTCTCCACACACTTGGACAAATTGATTTAACCCAGACAATAAAGGATTAGGATAGTCGCTCACATATTTAAAATAAAATATCGATATAACGATAAAAACATTTCACATCGCTAAACATGTGGCAACTCCGGTGTTTTGACAAATTCATATATTGTGCTTGCCGCTATACGGTCACATTCAACCAGCTGCAGTCATTAAAGCAAGTTTCTCAAAATGTTCAAAAAGTATGTATTAAATATAAGCAGATGCCTATTTGGCAACTAACTTTTGTAGATATATAGATTCGAGGAAAAGGACAGCATTTCATCGATTCAACAACTCAAATCGTCCGTACAGAAAGGCATACGTACAAAACTATTGGAGGCATATCCAAAACTAGAAACGCACATTGATTTAATATTACCCAAAAAAGACTCGTATCGCATTGCCAAATGGTAAGCATTTCAGTATCTATATATTGAAGACTAATAGCATTCTAACTAAATTTTGTACATAGCCATGATCACATCGAACTGCTGCTAAATGGTACCGGCGAGCAGGTATTCTTTAGACACCGGGACGGTCCATGGATGCCGACATTGCGTTTGTTGCACAAATTCCCATACTTTGTTACCATGCAGCAGGTGGACAAGGGTGCAATCCGTTTTGTTTTGAGCGGCGCCAACGTCATGTGTCCTGGCTTAACATCGCCGGGCGCCTGCATGACGCCGGCGGAAAAGGGCACAGTTGTTGCCATCATGGCTGAAGGCAAGGAGCATGCGCTAGCAATTGGACTACTCACGCTTTCCACGGAAGATATGTGCGTAACAAGGGCTTAAATTAATATTCATATATAATTTGTTTTTAATTCTTTGCCTCTTGCAGCTTGAAGAAAAACAAAGGCATCGGCATTGAGACGTATCATTTCCTCAATGATGGTCTCTGGAAATCGAAACCCGTGAAGTAGAATGGCTAGCATGGCTAGTTGATAGAGCTGTGGCAGCGCCTCGTCAGGCACTCGTGTCCTACTACATAGTCTTCGAGAGCAAAAGAATGTTTTTGATTTTTTTTTTTTTTTTGCGCATATTAAGCATTTGAAAGAGCATTGTATTTAATATTTTTGTAATTTTAAATGCGAGTTAAATTATTTTAAATCAATTCGAAATATATACAATTGAAGTGCACTCAAATGCCAAAAAGGCGTGCGCATTCACTTGCGCACTCAGCGGTTGGCGAAACCACCTGTGGCAGTGACCCTGGCGTTGGTGGTCAGGGCTGTCTTTGGGGATGGTTGTTGCACCAATTTGACCAGAGATTTTAGGTTGGAATGTTTTATTGACTTTTTGATAATTGCCATAAGAGCTCTAACTAGCTTTAAGACTCTTTGATTGACTCCCTCATTGATTTTTCAACGAGTTGGACAGCATAATAAATCAGCTGTTAGTCGTATAACGGTTCACATTGCGCACTGGTCCATTTCGCGCTCATCGACGTGACGTCACTATTACTATCAGTATACATTAATCTAATAAGAAAAACATCGCCTGCCTGGAAAAGTAAGTAAAGCAAATGTTCCCAGAAACACAAAAGGAAAAAACAAAGCTATAAGGTATTAAAAATAACGTACAGCATTTTAAAGTTTGGATTCATAAATAATTTACAAAGAGCGCACATATTAAGCATAACCTTATATTTTGCACCACGTGAGAGTTCGCGTAGAATTCGTATGCCGCATGCGCAAGTAACGGTCTTTCTGCTAATACGTGTGACGTACGTATGCTTCGGTGTGTGCATGTATTGTACGTCAGCAGAAACAGCAGCAGCGTAAAAAGAAATTGTTTTCAGTTTCAGTTGCTGTCAGCATTTGTCGCACAGTAAGCAGTCAACGACAATTGCAACGGTTTTTGTAAGAAACACAAAAAGCAATATATATACATATATAAGCAAAAACAAAAAAAAAGGGGATAGGAAAAGTGTTGAAAAACCACAAGTGGTAGACAAGAGTTGAACAATAACCGAAACGGCAAAAGGATGAAACACAAAAGCAGAAACTTATGAAGCATTTGAAAGTGATTGTGTGTATGTGTGTGTGTGGGCTTGTGTGGCATATGGAATAAAAAAGGGGCATTCAAATTTAAATCCCGTACGTTGCAGCAGTGCACAGACGCGTGTGTGTGTGTGCGTGTCTGTTTGTGTGTGGGTGTATGTGTGTCTCGGTATATGCGACTTTTAATGTATGAAAAGGTTTTCAAGGAAAACGGATACACACTGTTTAAACTTTTTTTGAAGGTGCAAAATGCAAGAGCAAAGTTTCCACACTTCTTTCATTCTTATTGTCTTTTTGTCATTTTGTTTTTGTTTTGTTATCGCTCAAGTGGGCGTGTGAGTCATGTTGCGAATTGCAAGTGGTCGCCAGGAGCAACAGCAAAGCGTACGAAAAAAATAATAAAATAGTACATGCACACGCACATATGGAGGACTGTCGGCACTCTAAACAATATGGCTACAATATGCCGTTGTAATGCATTTCGTTTTCTGTTACACTTTTATTGATTTTACTCCAATCTTAATACCATTCTTTTTTTTTTTTTTTGCTTTCTTTTTGATACTTTTTGAGCAGGCGCTGGCGTTAATTGAGTTGATGTTGATGACATGCATAGGCGAATCGTTCGCGCCTGCCATTCGCATTTACAACTGAGCAACAACAACAGCAGCAGCACCAAAGGCGAAGAAGGCGTGCAAAGGCAACAACAACAAAAATAGCAACAACGACGCATACATTAACAGCTAAAGACGCGAGCAACAGCGCCAAGTGACAGACGGAGCCAGCAAACTAAAGCGAGTGAGGCAGAGAGAGAGAGAGAGAGAGAGGGAGAGCACGCAAAGCAAAGAGTTGCATGTGTGTGTGTGTGCAATATGGAAGACCTTTTTCTGCTAATTATCAAGGAGTCAACGGGCACCAAGCACAACGCGCTGCGACAAACGGCGCAAATTGCTTACGGTAAATGTTTGCATATATATAAATGCTCTTCGTTTTAACGTGTGTGTGAATGTGTGCGTGTGTGAACAACAACAGCAACCACAACAATAAAAATCAACAGCAATGGTAACGGTAACGACAACAACAACGGCGCATTGAAAACATGCAAGAACGCAATTTCCTCTTTTGGAGTTGTTGCTTTTACTGTTCTTCCTCTTCGCTTGCTACWCATTATTGTTGTTGTTGCCGTTGTTGGCGTGTCCGCCCTTTTGCACATCCGTTGGCATTTCCTTTGTTTTATACCCTGCAGCAAATGAAAACAGTTTGAAAAACGGGATTGTCTAGTTGTTGTGTGGAGAATTGAATTAGAACAAAACAAAAGTTTGTATTAAATTTAACATAAGATAACTGACTTACAGTTGGATTTCAAAAGCTGTTATATACATACTATACTATATACATACTATATATACATATTTCTTTATTAAGTTGCGAAAAGTTTATATCGAATTTAACCCAAGCCGTATAATAACTAACTTAAAGTTAAATTTCATAGGCTGTTCATATATTTATTTATTTAGCMATACTTAGCTGTCTCTAGGGTATAAACTATTCAGTTACTTTCGACTTGTTCTCTTGGCTGTTCGCGGACCTTATCTTTGACCGCAGCGGCAGGAAAGTAGGCAACTATTTGTGGCTAGCTTCGCCTGCTTCAATTCATTACGCCATTTCGACCTAATTGCTGGCCTAGAGTATACTCTAGTCGTACGCATTCAAGTAGCCCATTTATCCCGTTACATTTTGTTGTTGTTGTTGTTGTTCAATAAGTTTGTCATTGACCGCGGCAGCAGGAAAGTGGGCAACCATTTGTGGCTAGTTGCCTGCTGATTCGTTTCGTTGCCCGGCGTAATTGCTGGCCTGGTCAGAGCGCCGTGCATTTAATGCTGATAAGCCACTTAGAGCGTTTCGATTTCGATTTCGTTTGACCATTTATGTATTTGCAGATAAACTTTATCGACAGCATGGCATACACAGGGATCCATCGCACGAGCTGCGCTCCGTGTGCTTTACGGCATTGCAAATGGCCTTGGACACGAAGCGGCCAAAGTTCATCACAATGGGCCTTAATGGTCTGCATGTAAGTAGAAAACAAAGAAACAAAAGCAATAGCTAAAACACATAAGCAAGCAGCTTGGTATGAACAACAAGGGGCAACAAAGAGGCGGACGAGTCAATTATCGAACGGGTTTCCAGGCAATTGTCCGCCCGTTTCCGTTTCCGTTTCCGCACCGGATATGCTCAGACTGACAGCGGACACGAAATTGCGAAAATTGTAAAATGAGTTTAGCTAATTGCCCAAAGCCAGTCAGACAGACGGACGGATAGAAGGACCTCGTCCCACTCCCAGTTCCAGTTCAGTTTTCCTATCGTACAAATCCATCATAGAGAATTTCTATAATTATTGAGGCCAAGGCTAACAACTGCAGCTCACGCAATTTTCAATCAGTTCTTAAGGCAACCTGAAGAATACTGCGAATTGCACTTAGAGTAATGAATATAAGGCGAACTCTTACGAAATATGGCTTCTTCATTTATGATTGCGATTGCTCTTGCTTTCATTCCAAGAGCTACACTTAAAATAATTAAGAAACCGAGCTGGGACTGAAGTACAGACGAGGCGTAAGTCTCAAGACTTTTCAAATCATTTCGATGGACAAAGGAGCCTTTTGAGCTGCACTTGAATTAATTAAGGAGATTCCTTAAAGTAAACTGAGCTAGGACAAAGCGTATTGTTGTGATATCTGATATTGGTGTATGCCAATGCTGACGTTTAGAAGACTTTAAGAGAAATGCTTGCCATACAACAAATGTGCTCTTAAAGTTATTTATCTAAGCTACTTGAAAACCTCTATTAACAGTTAGATTCAGTAGGAATCATTCTAGCATAAGTTTGCACTTTTTATAGAGTACTTTATAATTTTATTAGATGACATTCAGAGAGCATTTCTTAGTTTTAGTTGGACCCACTCAAGATTTACTACAAATACTATAGCATACTTTTGTGAGTCTTGACTACCTGCTCTGTTTGCTCTAATTATATCGGTTCTTTTCGTATGTCCACAGCGCGTCATCAAGGATGAGCGCTTCTACATTGGCCTGGAGCCGGAGGATGACTCTGTGTGGCTGCCCTCGCAGCTGCTGCGTGCCACAAATGGAATTTTGCCGTCGACAAGCAGCGAGGACACCGTGGTGAATGTGTTGCGCCTGTTCCTGGCCATGGCCTGCTCGCCGGCCTGCACGCTGAACGGGAGACTGCTCATCGAGATACTATCGCGCTGCGGCGAGTGCTGGGAGCTCGGCTCAAGGGCTATTAAGGCTGCTTCGCTGGCTGCCGCCTCGCAGTGCTTGCGCACCTTCTGCGCATTCCTCATCGAGGAGGCCGAGGAGGTAAAGAAGACGGCGCCCGCCGGCCTGATGACGCAAACGCAGGCATCGGCCGTCTACAACGAGGTCATACCCGTGATGCAGTGGCTCTGCAGTCGCCTGGTGGAGCCGAACGTCAACAATGCGTCGCCGAACAAGAAGTGCGAGAATCCCAGTTCGCTCTATCTAACCGAATGCATCCTGACGCTCAGCTCGGCGCTGCCACGCAACGTGCACGCCAATCCGCACTTCACTTCGTTCCTCTGGCAAAAGTTCTGTCCTACGTTGGCCGCGGCGCTCGGCTCGCCGGGTCGCATTAATCTGGACAAAAAGTTTACCTACAAGTAAGTGAATGATCTGTGATAGATGCTGCTATATATAGGATCTATATATATAAAAATCTCTCTCTCTCTCTCTCATCTGCTTTCAACAGAGACGCTCTGCACATGATTGAGAATGAGGCGCGCGGGTTTTTTACTGGACCCGGCTTGGATGGGCCGCAGGCGCGTTGCGTCTACCTGACTGCGATTCAGTTGCTGCGCATTGCCGGCGCCCATGGGTCGCTGCGTCCAATGCTGGAGGCGCTGTTCCATCGCATGGTCCTGCTGCCGGCGCCGCAGAATCGCACCGAGCCGTTGCGCTGTGTACGCGAGATCTTCAAGAGTCCGGAGCGTCTCATCGATCTGGCGGTCATACTCTACGTGGACAAGAACACGGCGCAGGGCTGCAGCGATGAGATGGCGCTCTTTCGACTGTATGTAAATTGGGTGATTCGTATGGGAATTCGTAATGAGAACTTTTGTGTCTGCTTTCAGCCTGGTGGATGCCATGGAGGAGTGCGCCTATGGAGCCAGTGCGGGCAGCGCCACAGAGGCGAGCCTGCAGGCGAGCGTGGAGTGCATGGTCGCCTTGCTGGATAGCCTGCAGGTCCTGTGCAGTGGCGAGCTGACCGAGTCCATGATCAGTGATCAGATCGTGCAAGTGGTCAATTCGCGGCACGAGCTGCTCAAGGATGCGGACTACTCCGGCCCGTTGACATATCAGAGCATGGCCAGACTGCCGGCGCCGTATCGGGATGCGATTGTGGAGTTTCGGCAAAATGTGTTCGAAACGTCGTCCGGTTCGGAAAGCGAATGTGAGCCGCCGCATGAGCAGGACGCGGCCTCGAATGGTTCGGGCGACACGGAGGGGCCGGAGGATGACGAGCCGAGCAGCTCCAGCGATGAGACATCACGTGTGGAAAACCGCTGGCCCTATTCCCACTTGGAGGCGCCCGTCATGCCCATCCGGACGGACAGCGACAACGATCGCCAGCATGCGCGAGACTTTGCGAAGGCCTTGCGCCAGGATCTGGTGCCGAAGCTGCTGCGTTTGCGCAGCTGCGTCGAACTGGACGAGGCAATGCAGGAGTTCGCGTCAGCCGTGTGCCAGGAGAACAGCATGAACTTCTCCGATTTCGATTACAATCTGACGGCCATCAATGCGGATGGCATTTACCTGGCCATCTACTCCTCGCTGCTGCTCAGCCTGCAGCTGATGCGTGCCGGCTACTACGATCAGCACTCGGTGAAGGAGAGCATCTTGGTGCCCATGTCGGAGCAGCAGTTCGTTACCTCCGTGCAGAATACGGGCGTGCTGGTCTACCTCTCCTCGCCCTGGCTCTGCGAGCTGTATCAATCGGTTATTGTTTCCAATATACTGGAGGCCATGACACGTCAGCAGCTGGACGGCAGCGGACCGCGTTGTGCCCTGGTCGACATGCTCTGCGATGCCGGCGGATTGGCCAACACGCAAATGCTATCCGAGTGGCAGCGCCTGCAGACGGCGACAGTGAAGCACAGCGATGACGAACAGCACGACAAACGACGCGAGGCGGCAAAGAAACTGTGCCGCCGCCTGCTCACCTGCTGCTGGGACTCGATGGTCATTGTGCTCAGCTCCGGGCTGGGAGATCTGCAGAGCACCGCCTCCAACAAGCTGGTGGCGCTCTCCAAGCGCACGCTGCGCGTCAAGGCCAAGACGAACAAGTCCAATGGAGAGGCGCTCTATGCCATGTGCCTGGATGGACTGCATTCGGTGAGGACACTCATCATCTATATATAGTATTTATCTCAACATCTAGCTAATCCAATGCCAACTTTTGCAGGCTGCCACCTTGAGCAACAGCCTCAATTTGCAGCACTTGGCTGGAAAGATACTCAATCTGTTGGCCTCCAATGTGTGCCAGACGAGCGGGCCACGCATCTCGGCCAGCCAGGCCATGTCCATGGACGTGGTACTCACGGGCGGCCTGAATTTGGGCAGCTACAGCGCCGACTGCTGGCAGAGCATCTTCGCCGTCTGTCGCCATGTCAGCCAGTTGGAGCACGAGATCTTCAGTATGCAGAATCCCTCAATAGCTGCGTCGCCGGGCAGCAGTCGTCGCGATCTGGAGACGGGCGAGAAGCTGAGCAATGGCAATGGCCAGGATAAGCTCAATCTCTCCTCGATTCCCATCGACGATGACGAAACGTGGTGAGTGCTGCGATAAGCCAAATAAGAGAGAGGGAGAATAGATGAGAGAGAAAGGAGGAGAATGAACAGTGATATAGGGGACAGATAGGGAGAGAGACCAAAGAATTGTAAATTTAGAGAGAGAGGGAAACATAGCAACGAGAGAGGGAGTAAATATATGAGATGGGAAGACAAAAGTGAGGAATAGAGGAGAGTAACTGGTAGATAAGAGCCGGGAAGATATACATAATAGAATAGAGTTTGAAAGCGAGAGAGAGAGATAGAAAGAAAGAATGAAAGAGAGGCATCAAGTGAAGGACAGGAGAATATAGAAGTGGTGCGGAAGAAAGAAGAGCGAGAGAGGCTGAAGCATAAAAGAAAAGAGAGAGAAACAAAGACATAGGCAGCGCAGGATAATTTCCAATACCGAATAAAATGGTTATATAATCTTACTACGATATATTCTAGTTAGAAGGTAACAAAAAGAAAAACTAATTATATCTATTTTTGCTTGCAGCGTGGATGTCTACAGCTTCCTGCAGGCGCCGCTGCAGAGTCCCAACACGAACATCACGTCTATCCTGAAGGTGTACTCGGGCACCAATGAGACGGTGCTGCTGAGCCAGAGCGATACCTCGAAGGTGCTCTGCGCGCTGTCCCATCAGGCCGAGAATCTGTTCAGCGATGCGGCCGAGCGGCTCAGTCTGCCATCGCTGTGCCAATTCCTGAAGCATCTGTGCCGCGCCTCGCGCGATCAGCTCTACAAGAGCCAGGTGGCGCGCAAGGGCGGCGGCACGCGCATCTGGTGGCCGAGCAAGGGCTGGAAGAAGATCGACTCGCTGCCCATGTCGCTGCTACTGCATCGCATCGGCGACGTAACGCTCAAAGTGTTCCGCAGCTCGCGGCCGCTGCTGCACGTGCTCAAGGTGTGGGCCATCACGGGACCTCATCTAATGGACGTAAGTGGGGGTGACTCTTTAGCTTAATGAGCTGACCTTGGATGTCCATTGACTTGATAGATCTATATTAATATTGTGCTACTTTCAGGCCGCCTGTCATCGGGATCGCATGATATCGAAGCGAGCCATTGAGTATATCCACGATATCATAACGGCGCTGCTGGTGGAGCAATCGGAGCTGCCCTATTTCCACTTCAATGAGGCGCTGCTGAAGCCCTTCGAGAATCTGCTCAGCATGGACACGTGCGATGTGGATGTCCAGGATCAGATTGTTGCCTGCCTGTATGAGATCGTGGAGGCGCATCGCACGGAAATCCGCTCCGGCTGGCGGCCACTGTTCGGCACGCTGCGGAATGCCCGCAGCCGTATGCTGAACATGAGCAATATCATCGACATCTTTCGCGTCTTCCTCGACTCGGACAATACGCTGGTGTTCGCCAACGCGGGACTGGACTGCATATTGTGTTTGTTGTCCTATTTGGAAATCTCTGGCAATAGCGGCGCCGGCAACTCCGGGTCGAATAACAATGCCTGTGGCGAGGACAACGACAATACGTTCCGGCCGACAGATTTTCTGCACGAAACGCTGCGTTTCCTGGAGCGATGCTCCAGCATATTGGGCTTCATGTACAGCATGCCCAAGTGCCCGAACTTTCACTCGACGTACAAGATCAAGGGCATCTCGTACACGCATATCATAGACGCCAACATACCGAGCTCCATGGAGAACTTCACCTACTTTGGCAACGACTATCTGCAGACGAAGAACGAACAGTATATGATATCCTATAGATCGCTGCACATCGACAAGGATACAATTGTGAAGATCGACGAAATGGACAAGCCGTCGGGGGTGCTGAAGGTGTGGTTCCTGCTGCTGGATGGGCTCACCAATTCGCTGATTGTCTGTCCCTATTCGCACCAGGCGCCCATCTTGCAGACCATCTTTAAGCTCTTCAAGAATCTGATGTCCACGCCGGGCATCGACTTCGGTTTCTACTGCATCAATCATCTGCTCATACCCATGATACAGGATTGGCTGCGCTACATCAACAAGACGGCGACCAGCTGGCAGCAGATTGAGAAGAACTTCAAGCACTGCTGCTGCATGACCACTGATCTGGTGGTGGAGTTCATTGAGAAATCGGTGCCGGAGCAGCGACGTCTGGGCGCTGGCACTAAGACCCGTCTCGCCCAGATCGTGCATCCCGCCGACAATCTGATCTACTCGAAGCTGAAGTTCGTTACGGAACAGCTGCCGGCGGCAGCGGACGGACAGCACCAGACGGGCGGCGCACAGTACGACAGCTGCTCCAGCTCGGCGAGCGATGAGCACAATAACAGCAACAATAGCAACTCGACGAATCCTCCAAATCCAAATCCCAATCTCAATGTCAATCACAATCTGATCGAGTCGCCCACTAAGATATCGGGCTCGGCGACGTTGGCACTGAAGCAGCTGCTGCTCGTGCTGATCGAGTGTGCGGCTCAGTCGCAGGAGGCGATCGCCAGGATCTCGGTGTCGTGCCTGAAGCACGTCATCCTCTCCACGGGCATGCTGTTCAACGAATCGCAGTGGATGATTGCCTGCTCGGCCATCCATCGCGCCTGTACGGTGACAATCGCGCCGCTGCGCCAGCTCTCCTTTGCGTTCCACGAGAAGTCGAACAGCTTCTACGGGGATTGCGCCAACGTCAAGGTAGCGGCGCGCCGTGACAGCACACTGGAGGAGCTGGCACGCATCTATGCCCTGGCCCAGCAGGTCTTCCTCTCCGACAATCAGCGTGAGCCCAACCAGAGCCAGGGCCCTGGCCAGGCGACAAGCCCAACTTCCGCGACAGCCAACCAAATCAAGAGCTCCGGCTCGGGATCGGCGCAGCTGTCGGATGATCGCAGCTATTCGTTTCTGCTGTATCCACTCAACAATGGCTTCAATTCCAATCTGGATAACTTTGTCATTCGCATTCCCTTCAAGAATCTGGTTGTGGGTCTGCTGGCCAATCAGATGCTGCTGCAGCTGGTGGCCAAGCTGTTGCTCTCGCGTCTCAAGTGCGTGCCGCAGGCGGTGTCCACGTGCATCTTCGACAACTATGCCGCCTCCGCGTCGACGCCCAGTCATGACTACGACCTGGACTTCCGCTCCAAGGAGATTCTGTTGCGCTGCGTCAAGCAGTACTTGATGTCCGCCCTGGAGTTCGATTCGCGTCCTGGACTCAAGTTTCTGATGCAGAAGGTCTCGAATATCGAGTACGCGGCCAATTTGTACAAGCAGATGACCTCCTCCTGGATGATCTACTACATAGCGCTGGTCGACTCGCACCTGAACGACATTGTGGTGTACAATTTGGGCGCCGAGGATCTGAACTTCATTTTGGAATCGTGCTCCAGGCTGAACACCACCACGGTCAAGAAGAAGGAGAACTTCGTGCGCTATCTGTTCTGCCTGCAGGATGCCTGGAATCTGGTCTGCGAGCTATATTTGAGCAACTCGGCGCTGCACGACATCGAGAACGGCAAGCTGCGCAGCCAGCAGCAGAAGCTGCCCATGCATCTGGGAGCGGCCAAGTCCATGTGCATTGCCCTCAATGGCAACGGCGATGCGGCCAGCAGCAGCGCCAACAATCACACGGATCTGACCAACGATATCAGCTACAATGGACGCCCCAGTTCCACATCGCCCAGCAAGTGCGTGCAGCTGGAGGAGGAGAATGTGACGATGACCACGTTGATAAGCGAATTTCAGCCAAAGTGCCGCAGCAATCCGTTCGACACGAATCGCCAGGCGACCAAGACGGAGGCCGAGTCCATCTCGCCAGAAATCGAACAGCAGCGCGCGACGAGCATCCTGAAGGACTCGAACTATAAGCGTGCTGCGCTGGCTCAGCTCGTGGTCGCCTCCATGGAACTGTTGCGCTCGCTACCAAACGAGGCCGAGGAGAATCTCAAATTGCTAATGACGCCCACCATCAGAGAGGCGTTCCGACTCGTCCAGCTGCAGGGCAACGAGCTGAAGGTCAACCAATTTTAGGCAATGCTTGTTGAGTTTTATTTTGATCTGTAGACGCAGCTAAACATGCCTCTACACACTCCCGGGTTCACTCACCTACTCTCGCTCTCTGTCCCTCTCTCTCACACTGTCACCCCTTCCCCCTCTCTCTATCCCCCCCTCAATGTCACTTGCATAGATAGTCTCGATGCCATCAATGGCAACACTCAGGCATTCACCAACCCATATCCTTGATTATACAAATATTTGGTTCAACTTAACCTACGTTTAAAGCAGAGTTTAAGTCAACTTCTATCCACACTAACGTAAATTTTAACTCAAACTTAATTCAAGTTCAACATAACCTAACTTGCGGATAAACTTAACCCAAGCTCAATCCAGCCTATGATTCAACCCAGTCCCATTTGGAATCAACAATTCTAAACTTCAGTTTAGGTAATCCTGGTTCAGTCCAAATCATCAAAGTTTATGTCAACTTCAATTCAATTCAATCTAACCTAAGTTTAAAGGAGCTCAAGATCGACTTAACCTCAACGATCTTGTCAATCAGCTGTGTGGCTTTGCATAACGGTTAATTAAGGCTACGTTTTACAACGCACGCGCTCAAACTCTATCTGTATATGTCTCTCTGTTTCTCTCTCTCTCGCTCTCGCTCTCTCTCTCTGTCACTATGAAACACGCATTCCCCAATGCCAATCAACCATGTCTCTCTTTCTGCCATTCTCGCTTCCTCCATAGCAGGCAAAACCATTTCAAAGTAAAAGCTCAACATGAAAAGGCACAAAAAGTAAACAAACAAAAAAACTGAACGAAAGTACAATTCGAATGCTGCAATAAGAAGAAGAAGAAACAGAATACGTATTAATTAACGAAGAACTGCAGATAATTCCAAGTGTAAAATGTAGTAAAACCAAAGAAGAAGAAGATGCAGCAACGTTAGCAACGTAGTCTTGTACATTGTAACTATTTAGCAAAACCAAAAAAAAAAAAAAGAAAACCTTTTTGAACCACAATTTCAACAGCCCCACAGCACGTTTACCCATTAATTCCATTATAGTCATAGTCTTTCTCCCCCAAACTCTGTCTCTACCACACATTCTCTCTGCTTCTCTTTTATGTGCACCACTGTAAAGCTCTCTCTCCCTCTCTTTATTTCTAAGTTTATTTTAGTCGCTCTTTTTAGAGTCTAGGAGTCCATTACGTAATGAGAAATCAAAAAAAAAAAAAAAAAAAAAAAAAAAAAAAAAAAAAAAAAAAAAGGAAATTCTTTTATAATAGTGGAACATGTGTACTATATATCATCGATCGCTATTATGTGTTGTGCCTAAGTAGCTAACCTAAAAATATTAAAAAAAAAAAGCTGAAATGGGAAAAACTAAAGCAAAATCCAAAAAAATATTTTTGATGGCCTTTAAGCATAGAGCGTAGCGCCATAATCGATTCAAAACTATATGCCAGCCTATATATACGTTACATATAAATATATATTATATACTTTATAAGCGATATAAAACCTATAATATGTATATCTTAGCCTAAGAGCCGCTTTAACGAACTTCTGTATAGCCTGTATATTTTCGAAATTAACAATCTATGAACATATATCGAGATAAAAGTATGCAAAAATCTTAAGAGAAACAAATGATCTATATATATATATATATAGGATCGGATTTCAGCTCAATGTTATAGACATATTTAAAGAGA